GTTTAATAAAAATATTCCTTTGATATGGGTTTCCCTTTTTTTTCCTTATGGCCAAGGGAGCTTTTAAGGTATCTGAAACTTCAAAAATCCTGAATTTAAGAATGGAAGAACATAGTTTCTTGTCACCTGAGATCAACTGTTCATCCCCTCACACTGCTATTTAAAACAACTTTTAAAATGCAGACTTCTATAAACCTTCTCCACCAACATAAAAAGGTTTATTTTAACAGTCTGCCTGATGAACAGATTTTGAGTACCCAGAAGCTTGCACATTATTTTCTGACTTTAAATTCACCTAATAAAGATATTGCCTTAGTATGAGCATAGGAACAAATCTTATTCAATAGCTTAGGAATGGTAAAGGCACTTGCCAGGATGGGACCCTTCCCCCTCTGGGCACTAGTTTTTTCACAGGTTCAGTGTTTGAGGCAACACATGTAGCAAGTAGGCAATGCTTGCTTTGACTTTTCAGGAGAATGTGGACACTTAAAAAATAAGTCCTTTGTCTTTAAGAACAAAAGAGTTTGCAGGATATACCAAAATATCTGACCTTCCCTCTTCTGTCTCTGGCCACTTTATCTTATGAGGAGGAACGAACAACCTACAATTCCTTGAAAATATTGGGTGCAACCCCTCCAGACTTTGCCACAAACCTTTTTATTGCAGTAAAAAGGAAAAAGATTAAGTACCTGGAGCTAATGACATTAACCATCAGTCATAGGAATCATTTAACTTTAAACCTCATGAACCTGCTTGCTTGCTTTTGACAATCATCTGGTTTACAAATACCATATTGAGCTGGGTTTTTCAGTGTAATACTATTTTTTTCTAAATGCCTGAGTCCTTGAACCTGGGGAGTTTCAGGTCAGGGTAGCTGTGGGCTTTTCCTAACTTCTTCTGTCTGTAAAACTGGAATGCCCACATTCATCTTTCGCCAGGTCTCTGGGCTGCCAAATGGGAAGCAGAAAACAAGGCCCAGAGCAGAGAAGCCTTGCTTGAGCCGGTGGATGGGGAAGCAGTCAAGGAAAGGAAAGTAGCCCATTTTATGAACTGATTTTTGTACAATGAGCCAAAATATCTTGAGCTAATTAAACATAACCCAGATTAGTGTCCTTACTAAAAAAACAGGCTCAAAAGGGCTACATTCGCTAAAGCAAGCCACTAGGGGATCTCTTTATAGTAAAGAGATCTACAGCAATGCTACCGTATCTCAGATTTTGGGAGAGGGCTTCCATTCTTGGCACAGACCATGAAGGACTAAGACCCAGGCTGAAAGGTTATAGCCTCTTTGTCTTTCTGTTGCATTGACTTGATGTGTCCCTCATGGCTTTTAGACCAACTTCCAAAGATGGTGATGAAAAGCAAACCAAGGTAAACTTAAGTTTCTCTGGTTACTTATCAACCAGGGCCCAATTAGAATGGGCATTTCCTCCTCTTTTAGAGTCATAGTGTTTGGTACAGAAGCCAGAAATCTGCCCAGCCTTTGTCATGTTCTTTTTTATCTGGGCATGTTGTGTGGTAGAGTTTTCTTTAGGGTGGGAAAATGAGATGATTCCATTATTATCAGTAAAGGTACTTTGCAAAATCTAGCCATTTGTAATTCAGAAATACCATGGATGAGAGGAGTAGACTTGAAAAAGTCATCATCAGGGGGTTTTTTTTATACCATCAAGTCATTGGCTAAATGGAGAGGAGAATCTTCTTGGAAAATGTTGAACTGGCCTCTATGCTCATACTCTCCAGATATATTGGACTGTAATTCCCATCATCCCCAGCTAGCATGCATGGTGACCACTGTAGCACAACATACTTGGAAGGTATCAGCTTGAAGTCTGCCTTAACAATCAACACATTTTGTGGAATTAATCCAACAGATGAATTGCTTATATTAAAATTTCAATATTGCTAAGGAAGGAAGGAAGGAAGGAAGGAAGGAAGGAAGGAAGGAAGGAAGGAAGGAAGGAAGGAAGGAAGGTAGGTAGGTAGGTAGTCTGGACTAAGTATTGTCATAATAGCAGAGAGGCTACATTAGAACCCAGTTAATTTTTTTACAATGAGTAAAATTTTAAACAATCCCTTAAGCAAAGAAATATAATCACCATGATCCTATCCCATATTTGGTCCTCCTGACTGTGAATTTGAGTAATAAAAAGTATCAGGTAAGGAAAGGGTGCTTTGCTACTTAACAGGCCATTTTTAGAACTGGAAAATTGGTTACCCATAATTTTACAAATGTTGTAATTACATGAGATGTGTATTACGCTGTTTAAAAAAGCAATGTCCTAGCCATGTCATACAGGTTGCATCTTGACTGCCTCAGGGTGAATGACCTGTTTTAGGAGACGTTTGGGGTTTGCATTTCCACCCCAAAGGTTCTGTGGCAGCTAAGCCACATCCCTGTCACTTTTTACTGAAGTTACTGGATGCTTCAGTGCCAGTAGTGCTGCAGACTGTTTACTCTTTTCTACCATCCCACAACTAACCTTCATTTCTGCAGGGCAAAGGACTTTTAAGCCCAGTCAATAAATAACTTTATATGGAGAGTGAGAAGAATTAGAAACTCAGTAAGTCATCCACAATGTGTGTACAATTCAAGACTGAGCAATCTATACTAGAGCTCTGAATTCTGTTAATTATATGCCTTAAAGAAAGATAGTACAAGGCTGTTAGAATATTCTGTCTGTAACCACCCCTCTCTCTCTGAGTGACTCTCGTCTATCATCTTGCCTCAAGAGATTGCATGCTTTTAATTCACTAATAAAGGAGAAATCCTACTATGGTTTGTGCTCTTTCCCCCCTCTAGTGCACCTGTGCCTATTTCCTTTACCTTTATGAATCTTTGGTTGCTCAAGGAAAATGCTAGAGTTCCACTAGCAAGTTGCAGAAAGTTCAATAAAAAAAACTAACAATGAAAAAAAACCACACACATAATGGTAAATTAGATTTGCATAGATCACGGGTGTGAAACTTGTCATGTGATGTGTCGTGACATATCGCGACTTTTTTTGCATTGCCAGAGCTGGGGTGGGCGCGGCCTCTGTATGATGCAACCAGCCCATGGATGGCAGTTTCGACACCCCTGGCATAGATGGTTTCAGGAAACCAAAAGAATGAGTTGAGATTCACAAAGCGTGTAAAGAACAAAATGAGCTTCAGGTGCATGCAAAATAAAATCTGAGAGTTGGTGCAACAGCAGCTCAATGAAGTTGACAAAAGGGTAACATAACAAAGAGGAGGCAGACTTTGGTTCCTATTTTGGGTCAGTCGTCTTTGAGAAGTAGGTATGGGTTCCATGGAGCATTTGGGAAACTTGAACTGAAGGAGCAGGATTCCAGCTCAGCCATGATCATGAACCCAGATTTTTTGCACAGGAATACACCTGATTTTCTTAAACTCAGCACCCTAATCAGGAGTGGGTAGGATGACCATTTTATCAGTGCTATTTTTAAACAACTTGTAGGGAAAAGTTGGCAACGTGACCCCAACTGTCCATGGCCTACTTTTATTGCATTTATAACAAGAAATAGAGAAAAGTAGTGAAATGATAAGACAGCCAGTTTGGTGTGGTGGTTAAAACATCAGGCTAGAAACCAAGCCACAAAATCAAGCAGTTTTGTTGAGTCAACAAAGGTATTAAAAACACAAAGAAAACCCTAAAATTTGTGTGTGGGTGTATACACATATATACACATACAGGTACATGCATGCACACCTGTTCCCTTGCAGCCTCCCAACTTGGTGTGCAGCGCACCAGATGGTCTACAATTCTCACTGGATATCAACTCATTTAGAAGACACTGGATGGAAATGTGGAAGTGAGGAAATAATCCCTACAACAGCACTATTACCAACTGGTCTGGTTTGCTGTCTGAATGTTCACATTTTGAATGTTTCAATTCATATATCAGATTTATTCCACTCTTTCCAGTGTATCAACAAAGCTAATTGTACACTGGAAATTAAATGTATAAACATATTTTTTTAATTCAACCAGAGCCTATAAAAGATGTACATATTTAGCAGATCTTCTGAAATTATAGGCAAACTTTAAAGAAAGGAAAAAAGAGATAAAAAGTATAGTTGCTTTTTCAGTACCTTTTAATTCAATGGGACAAATGACCAGTAGGTTCAGGGCAACCTAGAAAGGACTTGTTGTTACTTCACATCATTAATTGGGAGCATCTGAGACTGTAGTGTGGTTTAAGGCAGGGCTTTTCAACCAATGGTACGGGTACCACCTGTGGTACATTGATACCTGGCAGGTGGTATGCGATCATCCTAGAAAAGTGGTAGCAGGGGAGGGGAATGAGCTGAACTGGTGGCAGCAATGCACAAGCCTGAGAGAGATGGCTGGAGCTGCAGGGCTGTCAGTGCCACTTTCCAGCTGATCGGTGCTTTTTGGGGGCTATCAGGGCTCAGGAAGCGCCAGGATCCAGCTGGAGCTCAGCACTGATCCTGGTGCTTCTGCTGAGCCCTGAAGAAGCACCAATCAGCTGGAAAGCAGCACTCATCCTGACACTTCTGCTGAGCCCAGAAGAAGCGCCGATCAGCTGGAATGTTGCAGCCTCTCCAGGGTCTTGTGATTTACATTCAGATGCTTGGCAACTGATTCATATTTATGATGGTCACAATATCCCAGGATCATGTGAAATGATCAAAACCTGTTGCAACCACCCAGCAGACGGGCAGGGGGGGAATAAAAAGCAAATACCCCCCAACCCCCCCCCCACTGACAATCCTCAACAGAAATGCTCACAACAATGAAAACCGCGGACAGGAGAAGAGCACCGCCGGGCGGCCAGGCAGGTGTTTTGCTCGGCTGTGGCTTGGGAGGCACTTTTTTCAGTACCATTGTAACTTCGAACAGTCACTAAGCGAACTGTTGTAAGTTGAGGACTACCTGTACTTTATCACTTTTTTCCTTTTTTTTTTTTGGGTCATCAAGTTTTTGACACCTTGCTAGGTGACTGGTGGTACTTGGATGTTGCCATATCCTAAAAGTGGTACAATGGGTGAAAAGGTTGAAAAGCCCTGGTTTAAGGGACCCTATGAGGGGGATGAGGTAAAGCCACACAGGACAGGACAGGCCCCTGAATGGATGGAGGGAAGGTGCATGCCGGCTGCCCAGGACCAATTTCGGGGAGGAAGCAGGACAGCAGCCTGCAAGAATTGCCTTGTGGACTTCTTGGGAATATTGGGCTGACCATTCGGAGGAACGATGCTGTGCTAGCAGGTCCCATGATATGGTTTAATCGACTTTTTATGTGCCCTAGAATTCACACATGACTCTTGAAAGATAAAAATAAGCTATAGTATCGCAATCACAGTTTTGTTTAATTAGCCTAACTGGGCGACCGGCATTCGGAAGACTTAGTAGAACAAGACAGGATCCGGCCCCCAGTCGTGGGAAGAAAGCTCAGCCCAACTCTCCCGCAGCTGAGAGAACGTCTCTGCACGTGGAGGCTTCATTATGGCGATCAGGAGCCGGAGCGGACTTGCTTACCATAAAACGTGTTTAAAGTTCCTTCCACCCAGCCGGCCTAGGAAGCCTCTGGCGCACCGTCTTCCCCCGGGGCTCCCTGGGCTGCGACTTCCTCCCTCGGGAAAGGCGAAGGGGCGGCTCCGGGCTGATCTCCAGCCCGGGTGGGCGGATCCGGGAGGCGGTGTCGCAGGCCAGGCATTAGAGCGCAGGTGGCTCCGGCTGGGAGCTGCAGTCGCCTGCGGTGGCGCTTGGCGGGCTTCGGGCGTTGAGGAGAACGGGAGGCGCTGATCGCGGCTTGGGGGCCCCCTTCTCCGCCAGTGGGAACCCCCCCAGGAGCATCTCAGAGTCTCGCGCCTTCACGGAACACATCCCGACCCGGGAGGCGGCAGGACCCGGTCGGGTGTTCAACTCAGGGTGCGACTGAAGCATGGGGGATCCGCTCCGTCTCCGCGCCGCCGCTTGTGCGGCGTGGCCGCCCGCCCGGCTCCATGGCGCACCGTCCGGCGCAGGGCCCCGCTGACCACTTTTCCTCTCGGGAGCGCGAAAGGAGCTGGAGCAGGAGGACGCGCGCCGGCTGCCCTTCTTGCCGTCGGCCGGGCCAGTTCCAAGCCTGGTCTCCTCCTCCGCACGCGATCTTTCAGAAAGGACTTTTGAATTCTGCCGAGGGCGAAGTTAAGCCGAAACTTTTCCCGCTGCGGTGGCGGATCCAGCCTTGCTCTCTGCGCTGAACTTCCAAGCGGAGAGCGAAGGATCGAGGGCCCTTCAGGCTGGCTTGTTATGGAGTTCGACTTTTTTTTTGTTTTATCGGGTTTTATCCCCCGCACGCACCTGTCTGGCTGGAGCAGCGAATCCTCCGCGGAATTGGCAGCAAGCGCTCTTGCCATGGGAAGACTTGGGGTCCTTGGGAGGGAAAAGAAGGCCGGTTGGGGGGGCCGCGGACGTTCTCCGGGACCGCGCCACCTGTGAGCCCAGCGCCTCCAGCCTTGGAACCAGCCGGAGGGGTTAAAGCGAAGGCAGGAGCCGCCCGGGAGGAGGCGAGCAGGAGGGTGGCCTGATCCGCGCTCTCTGCGCCTTGCCATGGCCGGGTTTCGCTCCGGCCCGAGAGACACCTTGCTGAGCCTTCTGCTGTTCTTGCTGAAGGCTCCCGCTCCCGCTCCGGCTGCATCCAAGGCCATCGTCTGCCAAGAGATCACTGTGCCCATGTGCAAGGGCATCGGCTACAACCTGACCTACATGCCGAACCAGTTCAACCACGATACCCAAGATGAAGCTGGCCTAGAAGTACATCAGTTCTGGCCCCTGGTGGAGATTCAGTGCTCTCTGGACCTGAAATTTTTCCTGTGCAGCATGTACACTCCCATCTGCCTGCTGGACTACGCCAAGCCTCTGCCGCCCTGCCGGTCAGTATGTGAGAGGGCCAAAGCTGGGTGCTCTCCTTTGATGAGGCAGTACGGCTTTGCCTGGCCAGAAAGGATGAACTGTGATAAGCTGCCTGTTCCAGGAGACACAGAGATGCTGTGCATGGATCACAACCAGACGGAGGCCACAACCGTGCCCCCATTGTTTACCAAACCCACCCGCTCTTCCAAAGGAATCCACAAAAACCTCATCCCCCTAGCCAGTGGTGACTGCAAGAGAGTGTGCGCCTGCAAAGAGCCGCTAGTCTTCATCTCCCAAGAAACTCACCCGCTCTACAACAAGATCGAGACCGGCCATGTGCGCAATTGTGCCATTCCTTGCTTCCAGCCCTATTTTACCCAAGATGAAAAAACTTTTGCCACCTTCTGGATTGGCTTGTGGTCCGTCCTTTGTTTCATTTCCACTTTCACCACCGTGGCCACCTTTCTGATCGACATGGAAAGGTTCAGGTATCCTGAGCGCCCCATCATCTTTTTATCAGCCTGCTATCTCTTTGTATCCATTGGCTACATCATCCGGCTGATCGTGGGCCATGCTAACGTGGCCTGCAACAAAGATTACAACCACATACATTATGAAACCACAGGGCCTGCCCTCTGCACTGTGGTCTTCCTCCTGATCTATTTCTTTGGCATGGCAAGCTCCATCTGGTGGGTCATCTTGTCCCTGACCTGGTTTCTGGCAGCTGGGATGAAGTGGGGGAATGAAGCCATTGCTAGCTACTCCCAATATTTTCACATGGCAGCCTGGCTTCTTCCAAGCGTGAAGTCCATTACTGTTTTGGCCCTGAGCTCAGTCGATGGGGACCCAGTAGCTGGGATCTGCTATGTGGGCAATCAGAATGTGGACAAGCTGCGGGGTTTTGTCCTCGCTCCACTGGTGGTATATCTTTTCACTGGGACCATGTTTCTGCTGGCTGGTTTTGTATCCCTCTTCCGAATTCGGAATGTGATTAAACAAGGGGGCACAAAGACGGACAAGCTGGAGAAGCTGATGATTCGTATTGGGATCTTCACCGTTCTTTACACTGTCCCAGCTACCATTGTGGTGGCTTGCTACATCTACGAGCAGCACTACAGGGAGAAATGGGAGATGGCTCAGAATTGCTCCTGCCCTGGGGACAAGTCCAGACTGAAGCCTGACTATGCTGTTTTTATGCTCAAGTACTTCATGTGCCTGGTGGTGGGCATCACCTCTGGGGTCTGGATTTGGTCCGGCAAGACGCTGGAGTCTTGGAAGCAGTTCACAGGTCGATGCTGCAGGGGAGGGAAGCCTGTGAGCGCCACCATGTACAGTGAAGCCAACATAGCGCTGACAGGCCGGACTGGGCTTCCCACTTCTGCTTCCTACCACAAACAGGTTCCCCTGTCCCATGTGTGAAAAAGCATCTTGATTTGTCATTAGGGGGGCAGGTAAGCACCATTCATCCTAGGGCCCATCTGGAGCCTTTCTGGCGTTTTGCTCATTGTGGGCCTCCCAGGTTTGCATCTGGTCTAAGAAAAGGGGGATTATGCACAGGTGGGGGAGGGAGAAGACCTTGCATCTGGCCAAAGGCTGAGATCTCAGAGGTGGTAGAAGTCCACTGTGCCCTTGTGCAAGGCATGTTTAGAGTCAAACTATATATGAAGGGAATTGGGCAAATCCATCTCTGGACAAGTTTTTGCTTTTTGATAATGAAAAAAAAATCCATGGAGGCTGCAAGAGAAAGTGAAATATAGCAACAGGGAAGATGATATACATAATCTTTTCTGTTCAACCTGCTTAATTCAAAATTAAACCAGCTCTTTTCACTCTCTCCTCGTCTATTCTTAGAAAGCTCAGAATGTATCAGTTCAGCAGATTGCAAATCACAAATCTAAAGATTAGGCAATTCCTAAATTTCTGTTTGGCAACTGTCCTTTTCAGCAAGTAAACAGTGCAGGCATGTACATGTTTACTCAGAAGTAAATCTTGTAATTTTCATGGAATTTAACCACAAGAGGGAGAAGGTAGGACTACACATTTGACTCTTAGTAGGCATCTGCCAGTTTGAGAAATGTTCCTACAATCAGTCATTGCTCATCTACTACATTCCAGTAATGTAGTTATATCTCTATTGAAACTACAGATTCAGATTAAAAACACAATCAGTTTGAAGGGGAAGGTTTACTTAAAAGTGATCAGTTGTGACTGTAAGACTCGGCAGAATCCCGTTTCATGTTTTAGTTTGGGCTGGTGTTAAATCTACCCTCATCCTTTTTTACACAGATCTTTGCCAGACAGCCACCCGAGACAGGGAAGGGTCTCTCCTGTGCTGCTGATTTCCAAATGATAATAGCGAAGGCAATCTGTTTTCTTTGGAGTTGGTACAGAGCAATATATGCAGTGTAAAATCTTATGAATGAAAGCTTATTCACACTTGACAGAAGCAACATCTTGCTGGAGATACATGCAGTTTGCTTGATGTTGTGTTGAGTGCCCTGGGAATTAGTTGCATGCAAATTGGCAGCAGGGCAGCCTTAAGATGGGGCAGACATTTCCACTTGCTATCTGTCACAGATCGAATTGGTACAAAGTTCTTGGCTGTTCAAGTTAAGATTGGGCAGGGACAGAGGGCAGTTTCCATCACTTCCCTACTCCACTCTTAGAAAGCAAGAGCACCGATTCATCTGTGAAGACTGATCACTTGTATCTCACCTTCCAGAGAGTGGTCATCATATCTTTAAGCGGTTTGTAACCCTTCTGAAATTGCCATCTCTTAACTAATGTGAAACAATGTTAGCAATAGCCATAATCGGTGGGGAGGAAAGTCCCTCTCTCATTTCCAAATGTTAGCAATTTGAATATACAGGGAGTATATTGCATAGCCCTGAAAAGTAGATTGCAAGCCTTTACTTTCTTTTTTAAAGGCTGTTTATACCTACATGCCTGTGATTTGACTTAACTCTTCACAAATTTCATTCTTTCCTTGCTCTTTGACACTATGGTGTTATGGAAGTTGACCTCAGAGATAAATCTAATTGAATTCAGTGAGGCTTACATATGTTGCTAGAAATGCTTGACATGGGCTAATATTCTCAGTTCTTGAGAAAAAGATTAAAAAAAACACACCCCCTAGATATTCTTACATTTCTATGAATCTTAGATTCTCTTTCTGAACATTTCTAAATGTTTCTTTGGCGAAGTAGCCTTGCTTTTTTCTACTACTTTATTGAATATAATAATCACCCTGCACTTTAAAGCTTTCACCTGAACCTTCCAAGAATCTGTTGTTTTCCCAAGAGTTTTTGTCCCAGTAAGTTAACATGGCTCGTGGCCTTCCATCTCTGCGCAGAGGAAAGGTAAGATATCTATGGGCCTTGCCAGGACTTCTCCTAAGGTCTAGGGGCAGTGATGGCGAACCTTTTAGAGACCGAGTGCCCAAACTGCAACCCAAAACCCACTTATGCATCTTCGGGTGCTGGGTGGGCGTGGCCCATTGGGTGGGCGTGGCTGCAGTGGTAATGGCAGACTGGGTGGGACTAAAAAGTTCAGTCAATCAATTCCAACTTTGCAAGATCTTTTTTTTTCGCGAGAAGTTGAAATTGACTGATTGAACCTTTTTTTTTTTTTTGTACATGGTGGTGGAGGCCTAAAGCGAAAAGGTTTTATAAAACCCAGCTGAAGGCCTAGGACTGGGGTGACGGTGTCCATGCCCACAGAGAGGGCTCTGAGTGCCGCCTCTGGCATCCGTGCCATAGGTTCGCCACCACTGGTCTAGGGAATGGCAGCAGAATGTCTCTTTGCTGTGGGGATTGTGTAGGCTGGGAGCTGCCAGAAGTAAGAATCTGGCTTTTGTTTTCTAGAAAGACCTCACGTGCATTCTGGCCATAGTTAACTGAAAGCAAGTATGCCACTTGAAAGGGTCACATCTAGTTCCTGGAGCAGATGGTTATGGTACTCAGGGTCAGATGTTCAACGCATACCTAAAGTAGAAAGAGACTGTATGTAGGTTTGACCAGGAGGTTGCAGAAACCTGGCCACAGAAATTGGATTGGAGTTTTATTCCTCCTGTTCTATGGAAGGTAGCAGCAGGAGCGGTTGGGGCAGAATATTGATTGTCTTTGATCACGGTTCTACAGTTGATCAGTAATGGACATACTATATAAACTAGTCCAGCTGGCTTCTCCAACTGCAAGCAGTAACTCTTCCCTTGAAGCAACTGCTCAGGAGAGGAGACCTGCATTTTCTCAGTTGTGTGACACTATAAAGATCACAAGGAGCTTATTTGTGAACTTGAGTCCATCTCAGCTGATGCTGTCCCACAGAGGCAGTTTAAGCTTGGCGGACGATGTACTTACAACCAAGTATTCCCTCTTCATTTACATGATGAACTCTAAACCACTGAAGCTTATACAATCTTTCTGGTTTGTTTCTTTCTTTTTCCTTTAAGACTACCTATGACTCTTTATAGCTCTTATTTCATTAAATAATTTAAAAGGTCTTTAATACAACCCAAATAATTACTGATAAAATAATTACAAGGTTTTTGAGAATTATTTGAATTAAAGAACTGAAATCCTAAAAACTAACGTAATTGGGGCCTAGATGCTGATTTCTGAGCTAGAAACGTTCCCAAATCTCTCGGGCAAGTGGCAGTCTCTGAAGGAGCTTTTCCATAGGCAAGTTAGGGACTTCTAAGTGCTTGCGGGATTTATATATGTTCTTTTGTTCCTGAGACAGGTCCTGACCTGGTTTACACTGCAGCAACCCTGTTAGCCAGATTGAACTTGCCTTCAGTCATCTTCCAAAGAAGGAAATATTTAGTGCTACTTTTCAGTGATCCCATAGCACGTATAATTCCTTCCTTCCTTCCTTTATGCAATGCTGCTTTACTTCTCTAATTAAAAAATTAAGCCTGGGTGATGAGGGTTAAGTAGAATAGAAGATCCTGCCTTGAAGGCAGAGAAATAATTTTTTTTCTGGCTCCTTCCAGTGCATAGTTCTGACTTTGTGGTGTCTACTCACCAGGGCACAGCAGAAAAAGATGTGTTAGGCACAGACACCTGGATGTTTGGTATCGGGCAGAAGACCAACTCTATTCCATTATTCAGGTTTATTTCTAACAAGTGGGAATGTATAATGGAGAAGATGCCTTCTTAAAACATGTACTTCAGATTCACTGCCCCTAAGAGGTGGGAAGAGTTCCAGCTTATACAGTATAAACTCATACTTAAAGAAAATCAGAATTTACTCTCAAAGTTATGACTTGAATAATATTTACTTGATTTAAAATGACAAAATTCATTTGTTCTATCCACTATTTAGTAATCAAAATTCAGACATTTGAGAAATCTGGAATTTCAACTGAAATGACTTACCTAGAATCGTAGTTCCATGTCCTGTGTGGGCATGCAGGACACTCAGCCTAGAACAGTTGACTTCACTCCCAACTGTCTGCAAAGATTTGCATCAAAACTGCCCAAGGTCCACTTTTGTTTCTCGAGAACATAATGGCACTGCCCAACCATGTGGACAAAGAATACTGATTTGAGGGTTGCAAGCAAGTTAAATCTGGCTGTATAATAAACGGGTTGGAGAACATTTTTAGCATCCACTTACCACAGTTTTTTTTCCTCAGTCCACTCTGATATAAAAGGAGGCGTGGATGTTGCCATCCAAGTATAAAATTACCATCTTGCTGTACTTCCTTTAATTAGATCAAATGTTTCCGTGTAATGAAATGTTTGGGATGGGCAACTGCTCTATTGCATGACTTGCCAAAAATCTGAAATAGTCCTCTTAGCCTGTCATGTGAATGGCCGAAACATTTTTTTCCACAGGGCCCTGCTAGGCTGCTCTCTCTTTAGGGTCCCTCCCTATCCAACTGCACCAGTTTATTTACAGATACCCCATCCACTGCTTGTCAGTATCCCCGCCCCAGCTGATTTTAAGTACATAGTTTTAATGGAAGGAAATGGTTGCCTGCTGATGTATTAACATCTACCATCTATTCTGAAGAAAAGCTAGGCGGCTGGAGCAGCCTCACAAATGTGCTTTCTGTCTGTTGGGTGCTTGGTGATGCCCCCATAAAATGAGATTGTGACTGCATGAGCCTCCTTCTGCAGCAGGCCTTTTCGGAAAACATTTTCCCAATATTCAAATAGGCTTTTTGGCCCCCAAAGCTAAGGTACTGGAAAACAGAATGAGTTCTAATTCCAGATGGAAATGTTTGCCTGACAATAACCAATCGTAGATGTTTAATAATAGAACCATATATGTACCGTTAGAGCAGTCTTGAGCTTTCTTCCAGTGATAAAATAAGGCCACTCATGAAGATGATACGATCCATGGTGGTATCCTGGATAACCTCAGACTGACAGGGAAAGGCTACAACAAAACTGTAACAGCATTTCAAGTCAACCTAAAGTTTTATTGCACCCTTTCCCACCAGGGCAGTGAACTTGGGAACCGAGCACACATCCATCTATAGAATTTCATGGCTTGGGGGGGGGGGGCTTTGATGAATCAAAGTTACATGCTTGGTGTTTTAGGAACATTACTGCTTCCTGTAAGCAAGCTGAAAAGGCATGGCTTAAAAAATATATATAAAAAAATAGAAAATTAATAAACAGTAAGGAAAGCTTTAATTCAGTGTAGAAAACTGTCAAGTACATTATTAGCTTTGAAAATAAGGGTTTTTCTAAGCAAGGTAATACAGGGTTTCTTTAAGCTATTGTGTACTCTAATATAAGATTGAATTACATGTAGTATAATATGTAAATAGCTGTATAATTGTCTTCAAAGAAATACATTTATATATACTGAATCTCCT